TCCTATCATCCCCTAACAAGAAGGTTGCAGAGTTATGAGAGCCAAGAGACAAGGAGAGTCAATGCAAGTGCTATGGAAACCTTAATGAAACTCTTCTGCATGGGTAGTGAATTGCTCTCAAGTGACTAATTGGATGAGTGATGATTCTGAGGGTCCATCAACAGAGAAATGATGCATACTGGGATGTTTGTCAATATGTCTTCCCTAGCAGGAGCTCTACCACTCTGTTGTGTCCTGGACACTGAACAGAGAAGTCAGCAACAAAGGCAGGGCCATTTGATTACTTGGTGCCATGCTGGTGCTGATACCTGATGTGTCTTTGAAGATGGGAAGGAACTTGGTTAACCTCTCCAGCAGACTCCTCCAAATTCAGACACCCCAGGTTTTGTCTACAAAACCCATACTTACAGGGGCTGGGGATATAGCTCAGTCAGTACAAGGCCCTGGGTTCAATCCCCAGCACCACACACACACATACCAAAAAAAAAAAAAAAAAAAAAAACCTTAAATATTTCATTAAGCTGGGCACAGTGGTGCAACCTGTAATCCCAGCAGCTCAGGAGACTGAGGCAGGAGGATCATGAGTTCAAAGCCAACCTCAGCAACTTAGCAAGGCCCTAAGTAACTCAGTGAGACCCTGTCTCTAAATAAAATATTTTAATAAGGCTGGAGATGTGGCTCAGTGGTTAAGTGACCCTGGGTTCAATCCCTGGTATCAAAAAAATATATTTTTTTTCATTAAAAGGAGGTTAAATCTTTGAAGTGTCAGACTTGTACCATTCTCCAAAAGTCAAGAGAAAATTGAACATGTCTAACATACCTTCAATTTGGTTCAACCTTGCTCCATTTGAGTCTAGGACTGAAACCCCCACAGCCACTATTGCCCACAAATACACTTGGCCTGTCTCCTGAAGTCTGGAGGGCTAAGTTATTTCCGGCCTCTGCCACCAATGCTTGTAAGCATTGGTAGAAAAGCTCCCACTTAGGAGTACACTGTCACATCCTTGGAAGTTGAAAATGACCCTGAAAAGAAAAATTCACACACAGCAAAAAATGCAGACTTGTTCCTTAGAGATCCAACTGAAATGCCCCAGTCATCGTCAGCAGATTTTTAAAAAAGCATCTGTCTTTTATTTCAAACCCCCTCCAACTTCCTACCCCAATGCTTCTAAAAGGTGGCTAACACTCTGGGAGGGTCCTTGGATTTGGAATACAGTCTGACTTCTGAGGTACCCCACAGGCCACTTTCTACTTCAATGAGATAAGAAATGGGGGGTGGGGCACACCATGTGAGTAACTGTAGTTGGATTCAGGAAGCTATACTAAATGATTATCCAACTTTGCCCCTCAAAATGCAGCCCTAGAAGTCACTGAATTTATAAACAATACCCATCCCAATATGGACATGCTGCCCCTCAGATGGAGGGTTCAGGAAGACTGCATGTCAGCAGGGTGCAAATGCAATTTTTCCTGCATAGGACTAAAATGTGATGGAATCTTTCCTGCAATGAAAGATTTATGAAAATGTGCTCAATCCATTTTTAGCAGCTCAGTAGTTTCTTTCATGACAAAATAATGTATTTCATCCTGAAAACATGTTGACTATTGTAGCTTCCACACAACCTCAGCATTGCAACAAACCCACTTCTCATACCAGCAAAGCAACCACACACCATGGTTTGTAACAAGAAGGAAAAGGTTATAGGGTAAGGATAGACACAACTTTGTACCCTTTACACACCAGAAGATGCTGAGTTCAACTTCAGAGAGTGTAACTTCCTTTTGGTACAGGGAATTCTTGGAACTGGCTTATTCAACTCCTAGCAGAAGTTTACCCAGTTCTTTGTCTCATTTCCTCCCATCTTTACCAAGAATTTGTTTCTAGAACCTTAAGAAAACTATACATCTTCATCATGTGCTCATTGCTGTAGCCTCACACAAGAAGGGATATGTCCTCCCAGGAAACTGACCCTGCCATGCTGTCAGCTCTCCGGGATCCCATGGGACATATGGGAGGTGACACTATAGACAATGGATACATCCCCAGAAACCTATGCCTTCCATTAGGCAAGAACTCCAGAGTGTGAGGCCACAGGCCCAAGGGGTAAGAGAATAAAAACTGCTTCTTTGTTTCTCCTTATTACCATTAGCTCATACTTGCCCCCTCTCTGTGTGTCAAACTTATCATTCTTCTTTGACACAGAGAGATGGAGAGGCAGTGAGCTTGAGAAAGTATCCCTGGGTGCCCAGGATGCATCTTTTAATAAATGATCCCTAATTGCCTATAGTATACTGGGGATTTGGCAGGTAATGTGTCTTTGCTGTCAGGAAACTCTCTATATAATAGGAGGGAGAGAGACGAGTAAGGGAAAGTGTGGTAGAGTATGACCATGCTGAGAAGGATGAGAGTCCTGAGGGAACATAAGGGAGGATCTCCTGACTCAGATCTGAGGGTACTGGGGGAAGTTCAAGAAATCATCTTTGACAAAGTGACAACAAAATTCAGTTCAGAAGGGAAAGAGTGTAAGGAAGAGTACTTTGTAGGGAATAGCAAATGAAAATACCCAGAACTGGCCAGGCATGGTGGTGCATACCTGTACTCCCAGCCACTCAGAATGCTGAGGCAGGAGGACCACAAGTTCAAGTCCAGCCTAGGCAATTTAATGAGACCCTGTCTCAAAATAAAACAGAAAAAAAGGCTGGGGATATAGCTTAATGGTATAGTACTTGTCTAGCATTTGCAAGGCCCTGGGTTTGATTCCCCTGTTCTGGGAGAAAAAAGAAAACACTCAGAACCAGAAAGACAAAATGGACAACTCTGGACACATCAATGCAAGAAGAGGAGTAACCAGATCACACAGTCTTGGACTGCAGCCTGAGAGCAATGAGGAACTGTTGAGGCAGGGAAAGTGAAATGATTGATCAGGGTTGTCAGAGGTAGGAAGTTACACAAAAGAGACAAGCCCCCCCTCTTTCATTCCCCATCCTGGAGCGCTGCTCTGAGAGGTTCTGTAAGGCTCAGTTCAGGGCCATGGAGTGGAATTGTTATGCTTGGGAGAAACAAGGAGGAAGGGTGAGCAGACAATAGGGTGGCTAAAGATGTTTCTAGGATAATTAACATTTTGCTTTGCGGCCATATTGGCACTATTTGAGGCTTATAATGTTTTCAGTTTCAACCCAAAAGCTCAGCTCACTCATCAATATTTCAGCATATATTCTTGAAAATTATCTTCTTCCCTTTCACTTGTGGTTTCAAAATTCCTCTTCTTTAATAAGAAGACAGGCAAAGAGAGATGCTGCACAAGTTCCATGCGTGCATATTTTGTTATTAATCCTTCTATATAGCCAATGGGCCACCTGAGAACAGCTTCCAATCCTCACAAACTCCTCTCTGACCAGGTTGGGGAGGCTGCAATCAGCCTTAGGACTGACCCGTATAAAGTGGCATGGACCGTTTCCCTAATACATACTCAAATTCAGCAGACCTGCAGGATGCAGTGGTACATGTCTATAATCCCAGTGGCTTGGGAGGCTGAGGCAGGAGGATTAAGAGTTCAAAGCTGGCCTCAGCAATTTAGCAAGGCCCTAAGCAACTCAATGAGACCCCCTGTCTCAAAATAAAATACAAAAGGGGCTAGGGATATGGCTTAGTGGTTAAGTGCCCCTGGGTTCAATCCCCAGAACCCCCCCCCCCCCCCCCGCAAAACAAAACAAAAAAAAAAACCAGGAGACCTGGTGGCTGAGTTTCCACTGAAAAGTCTTGGATTCCCACTGATGTAATTTAGGAAGAAAGAATCTGAGACTGAAGGTACAAGGGAGCTAGAGAGAAAAGAGAAAGAGAGCAAATTGTGAGAGAGAAAGAAGAGAAAGACACAGAAGGTGAGACACAGAGAAGAAGCTTGGAGGGAGACTGGAATGGAGAGAGGACAGATGAAAGAAAACTTCAGTGAGAGAGGGAGAAAGAGAGAAAAAGAGAGAAAAGGAGGGAGGAAGAGGCACTGGGAGGGGGAAGTCCCAGAGCTGTTTAGATGATGCACAGGAAAGTTTGGGCAAGGGTCAGACAGGAGAAAATGGAGCTGCTGAAGCACCTGGATGCCAATAAGCAAATGTGCAGAAGGCAAGGGAGGAGGCAAGCCCACCCTCTCGCCTCTTCTCCATCCAGTGCTGGAGGCAGTTAGGTCTCTGTGCCCTGCCCCCACTGGGATTCCTCTGAAACTTGCAAAACCTGCAGTGTCCCATCCTTGCTCTGTCCTGCCCCCACTTAGGACAGTTGTCCCTTCCCTTGAGCAGCATTAGGGAAGTATTGTCAAGGAGGAAGGATTCTGAGAGCCATAGAGGACCCCAAGCCTCCCAGTGATGGCCTAATGGAGGAAGGCAGGGAAAAGAACACAAATCTATAAGGATAAAGGGGGATTGGGCAGGCAGGCAGGCAGGAAGGCAGGCAGGCAGGCAGGCAGACTCTCAGGCAGGCAGACTACATAGAAGGGCTCTGAAGTTCCTCTATCATCCATTCACTGTGCCTCCATCCAGAGGGTGAAAAAAAAAACATTGCCCTGCCCTTTAGCCTCCTCCTTCCCTCCTTTCTGACCTAAAGCTATTACCTTGAGGATACCCAATGGCTGTTGCCTAACCCTTCTGAGGTCTTTTTTACAAAAATCATTGGAACTTTACCGCTGAGCCCCAGTTTAGCTCCAGGCTAAAAGGAAAGTGGTTGAGTTGGGGGCAGCAGGGCCACTTATGTGCCCTCCTCCAGCTGGAGAGTTGGAGGCTGGACAGAACACCTCTGGCTCTTCTCAAGCAGTAGCGGCAGCCCAAGCTCCTCCCCAGCACAGAGACACACTCTGAACCCCACTCCAGCTGCTGGTGACTGTGCCTTTAAATTGCTGCTTTCAGAGGGTGCATCTAGGGGGAGGTGGGAGGGAGGGAAACATCTTTCTACCGGTCTCCCTCCTCCCTCCCCTCCAAGACTCTCCAGGGTTTAGAGGGTGATTGCTGCCCAAAGAGAATCTTTTTTGGCTCCCTGGCTGGCAGGCTGAGGCCCTCCGCAGCCCAAGGCGAGCCCAAGCAGCCGGTAGGGTTATCTGTATCAGGATCATTTCCAGGGGAATAGTTCTGGCCCCTGACTGATAAAGACAGGGCAGAGAAGAGGCAGAAGAGGAAAGAGAGCACAACTCCTAGCCCAGCCCCACGGGCTCCTTGGAGCAGCCCAAGTTGGAGGAAGGTTCTATACTTTCGGCGTTCCCACAGGGATATTCCCCTCACCTTGGCAGCCAGGCTGAGGAAGGGCTCCAAGGTCCCCACGGAATGACAACTCTTGTTCCTGCAACCCTCTCCTTCCTTCTTCTGTGGACTCTGCCAGGGCAGGTCCTCCTCAGGTGAGCTGAGTGGGGTGAGAAGAAGGTGCATGCAAACACTGGCAGGAGGTTGGGGGCAACCTGGGCAGCGGGCACAGTTTCCTCTAAGTTTACAAAAAGCCCACAGTCTGGAGGGTTCCAGGGGAGGGCACATGCTCCCCCAAACAGGACCCAGGAGCTTTCCATTAGAGATGTCAAAGCTGGTAGGAAGTCTTCTGCATGGGCAAGTTTCCTGGGCCTGGAGTAGGGGCTAGGTAGCTGAGCCCCCAAATGGAGGCCATCTAACTTGCCACCTAATCCTGTCTCCCTACCAGCTGGGCCACATCCTGCTCAGTTCCATAAATACAACAGCAATATCTGGCAGTTGCCTGCACAAGAGTCTTCAAGTAACACAGGTTTGCCCTAAGACCACATGGGCTGCCCAAACTTTGGCCTTCTGCAATCACCCTATCACCCTGACTGTGCATACATGGCTGCTCACTGTCCCTTGAGGGGCACCAAGTAGCAATCATTTCCTGGGCTTGCATGCGAGGCATGCTTGGGCTCCTTGTAAATGTCTCCCAACCAACTGCCCCTTTCTTGTTAGGTCAGGAGCCAGTCTAGGTTGACAGGATGAGCTGAGCAGGAAAGATAGTTATGGCTTGGACTGAAGTGCATCCCAAGAGCAGTGTACCCCAAAGCAGAAGGAGCAAGTGTCACTGCAGTATCCTCCTCCCCCTCTTAATCCAAGGAACACCCCAGAGCTGCTTGTTTCTGAGGAGTCTCCTATCCTACTGCTTGCAGATACATTGGCTGGCAGGCAAACAAGGATGCAGAGCACAACAATAAACTTTAGACTAAAAAGTAGCTCAGAGTGGAATGGCAGTTCACCTGGAGTTGACAGGAGGATATAGAAAAAAAGGAGGGCATGAAGCTGCGACTTGCTGGCCCTCTTGGAAGAGAGGCTGCCTCAACGACCCAAGCTCCAATGGCAGCTTTTCTACTTGGGTTTGGAGACTGAAGGCAATTAGAGCAAGATGGGCAATTTGATATGCCCATATGAACAATATGGAAACTGAGGCCTAAAGATGGGGAATGACCGACCGATGTTGTTCTGGTATTCAGTAACTGATTCAGAGTTCTCCTCTTACCCCACCCCAGGGCCTTGTATGAGAAAGCCTGTCAGTTCTGGAACCTCCTAGGATCTGTTGGTGTTTGGGACTTTTGCAGGAATGAAAGGGAGGAAGGAGTGGCTATACACAGTCACTGTCCTCTCAGGTCCTCAGACAAAGTAGCCCCAGAAGTGGGGGCCAAAAGAGGAATTGGGGCTGAAGACAGCTTATCCCACAGTATGTGCTGGGTTCCTAGGGCTGATACTAGTAGGAGAAGCGACCTGAGAGTGGGGATGAGGACTGTAGAGGGTCTGGTTGTTCCATTGTGCAGGGCCATGTGGCCTCCCAGAAAGCAGGTGGCAGGTGGCCAGCAGCAGCAGCAGCAGCAGCACCTGGCTAGCATGGACATCCTGTGGTGAAGTTGCAGACTTCTGCTTGGTCCAGCACCACCACCAGCCTCCTCGGATTTCCACACCCTGCTTAGGCCACCTGCTCCGGCTGTTCCTGCTGAGGGCCAGGGGAGCCTCTGTCTCCAGGGTAAGGGCTTTCCCCTGCTTGGGGGAATTCAAGGAGATAAGACTCTAGGAGGTCATGGAAGAGCTGCCACTGAACTTCCCCAACTCTGGTCCCTTGGCAGCTCACCCTGCCACACTTGCCTCATAGTACTGTGGTAGATTTGGTCTGAAGTCAATAGCTCTGGGTTCAAATCTTGGCTTTATTATTTGTTAGCTAGATGATTTTGAGGATATCACTTCACCTCATGAGTTCTAAGGCTCCACATGTATATATAGTTGGCCCTTCATATTCATAGGTTCCATATGCATGGATTCAAGCAACCATAGGTCAAAAATATATTGAAATAATAGCACCTGTACTGAACATGTAAAGACTTTTTTCTACCATTATTGCCTAAATGTACTAGTATAACAAGTATTTGCTTAACAGTTACAACATTTTGGGTCTTATAAGTAATCCAAAGATGATTTAAAGCACACATGAGAATGTGCATGGGTTATATGTAAATATTACATCATTTTATATAAGGGATTTGAGCTTCTATGGATTTTGGTATCTGAAAGGGGGTCCTAGAATCAATCCCCCATGGATAACAAAGCATGAGTATAATAGGGATGATCAGAAAGGACTGATATGAGAACTAAATGAGATATTGTATGTGAAGAGTTTAGTATGGTGTTTTAGCTATTTTTGTTATTCTATTGGTCACTGGCTGGTGCATGGGAAAGAGAGGCCCACTAGCTCAAAGAAGACTGAGACTCAGAAGGACAGCAGCCACCCTGCTGCCCAGTTCCACAGTAGGAGCAGCCATGTCAGCAGTGGAGCTGGTTGTCATACCTGGCACAATGATGATACCAAGATGAAGAAGGAGACACCTGGCCTAGCTAGTAGTCCAGCCTGAACTCTGCCCCTGCCCCCAAGGTTTTGCTGAGTTTCTGGTCCCTAATCTATATATTGGCTGGTAAGCTGGCAAGCAGGCATGCCAAAGAGACTTTGCTGCACTTGAAAGGAAACTTCTCAAGGGAAAAGGAAGCTGGCTTCTAGGCCAGGCCAAACAATACTGGCCCCTTCCTCAAAATCAGGCTGTTCAGGGGGAAAGATGGGAGTTAAGCTTCTTTGCATGATCGCCCTACTGGGGGGTTTTCCCATGAACAGGGACCTGCTTCCTCTCAATAGTTGAGTACACTTGCTAGCAGTGGCCATGGCCCTGAACCAAAAGAACTCAAAACCTAGCTTCTTGCTACAACAAATGCCAAAAGCCACACCTCCCTCTTCAGAAGCAGGGCCTTACATTCTGTTCATTCTCACGTGAAGCCCAAGCAACTGACACCAATTCTCAGGGATGTAATTTGTCCCTAAGCCCCTCCCATCTTTGGCCAGACCAGATTAGCTAAACATCCCAATGGCCCTATCATAATCAAAACACTGCAGTGAGATATCACTCTTCTTTGAGTACTTTCAAAGCACCTTCACAAAAAGAACTCTGTACAAGACCACAGTATGATGTTCAAATTCTAACCCTATATCTGACCAGCCCTGAGACTTTGAACAAGTCACTCCTTTTCAAACCTCCATTTTCTCATCTGTAAAATGGAAATAACAATCCTCACCCCCCAACTCAATGAAAATTGTAGGGTTAAAAAAATCTAATCTTGGGGCTGGGGATGTGGCTCAAGTAGTAGTGCGTTCGCCTGGCATGCACGGGGCGTTGGGTTCGATCCTCAGCACCACATAAAAATAAAAGATGTGTCCACTGAAAACTAAAAAATAAATATTAAAAAATTCTCTCTCTCTCTCTCTCAAAAAAAAAAAAAATCTAATCTATGTGAAAGCCATTTCCTAGGACTAGTGGCTGAGCTGCCATGTTGGCTTATGGCTATTATTGTTCTCCTCATTTTGTACATTGTTACTCAGAGACCCATTCTCTCTTATCCTCCTGCTTGATGAGGAGGCCAGTCAGAGGTGGATGAGGATGAGAATGGAGAGTCTCTGACAAATGCAACTGGCCTCAGACTTCTTTACCTCTCATGTCCAGGGTGGCTTTGGCAAAGGAGGATGTCAAATCTGGAAACAAGGGGTCTCAGCCTATGTCCCCCTCTGATTTCCTGGACAAGCTTATGGGGCGAACATCTGGATACGATGCCAGAATTCGGCCCAATTTTAAAGGTAAGAAAAGTCATTCTATAAAACCATTCCCTCCTTACCACTTTTTGTGACACACTACCCAGTCAGCCCCTGTGAATTGCCTTAAGGAAGGAGACTGGTATTCCAGGGCTAGTTCTTATAGCTCAGAAACAGCCTCCCCTCCTTGTAGTCCAAAGGCTTGTGTAGCTGGCACTATCTTCTCCCAGCCTGAAGCTCAGGGAGAGAGTCCTCAAACCTGCTCCCTGCCTTCTGGAATGCCCTGCCAATGGGCTGTGCTTTGCTACCCTTAGGCCCACCTGTGAATGTGACCTGCAACATCTTCATCAACAGTTTTGGCTCCGTCACCGAGACCACCATGGTAAGGAGTCTTCCTGTTCCCCATTTCCACCCCAATGTGAATGGAGAAGCCAACCAGGCCACACACATTTCATACCTCTGTTGTCCACTTCCTGTTTCATTGTCATGGCTAAAGCCATAGGGGTCTGAATTTGGCCACTGGGAGAATATTTTTCCCTAGCCTTAGATTTCTATAGTTAAAGATGAACTAGCTAAGCAACAAACAGATGGCCAAATATGTGAAGTAGCTCCAATGCAGACAACAAGCTTTGGAATTAGACAAACCTGGGTTCAAATGCTGGCTCTACTAACAGTGGTGTTAAGGTATATCTACTTAAATCTTTCTTGGTCTCAGTTTCTCATCTGTAAAATAGAGATCATGATAGCACTCTCCTCAAAAGATTGGTGTAAAATTTAGATGAGATGATACATATAAATAAAGGACTTAGCAGAGAGCCTGGCACATAGTAGATGCTTAAATAAATGCCTTTTTCCTTACCATCTTTGCTTTATTAGCCCCAAACAAGCTCCTCCAGTGGAAAATGCCTACTGTCCCCAATATGCCCCAGAATTTCCTCCTCATGACTCTCCTGCTCACGTAGGGTTGCTGAGCCCCTGGAAATAGCAATGCCTCTGATGGACCCATATCTGCACCCTCCCAGGACTACAGAGTCAATGTCTTCTTGCGGCAGCAGTGGAATGACCCACGCCTGGCCTACCGAGAATATCCTGATGACTCTCTAGACCTCGACCCCTCCATGCTGGACTCTATTTGGAAGCCAGACCTTTTCTTTGCCAATGAGAAAGGGGCCAATTTCCACGAAGTGACCACAGACAACAAGTTGTTGCGCATCTTCAAGAATGGAAATGTGCTCTACAGCATCAGGTACACCTGGTGAATGGCCAGGAGAATTTGCATCAAGGGGAAGAAGACAGATGGAGGCTGAGGGTGGAAGAAGTGTCCCCTATGCAATGTTAGATCCCAGTAAGCTGATGTCACTTCTTTCTTACTGTCACCACCAGATTGACCCTCATTTTGTCCTGCCCAATGGACCTCAAGAACTTCCCTATGGACATCCAGACCTGCACGATGCAGCTAGAAAGCTGTAAGTGTCTGTAGAAAGTCATGGAGCAAGGCCTGAAACAGCAGCTAGTAAACCCCATCTCATGACATCCCAGGTATTAAAAGGGCTACTCAGAGTCAGGCAGGATCTACACAAGCACACACAGACAATTCTTGGCACAGATAAGACTAGAATCTAGGGTTTTCTGACACTCAGTCCAGTTCATTTTTCCATTTTCTGGCCTGGATATTCCAAAGACTAGGACATGGGATAGCACAAGCCTGATACACAAATATGCTTGTAATGACTATGGAAGGGGATTTGAAAGGGTGTGCTCTGCCTAAAGATATGTTCCCTTAGTATTTTCCTGAGTTAAGACCTTAAAGATATCTATAAAATGCCACTGTTGGGCAAGGTAGGGTATTCTCTGAACTCTGATTCCCATGAACAGAGATAATCATTATAGAGAAGTATGAGAGGATAGTTTCAAACATAGAAAAGTGGCTATAAAGGAGAAGTCACCCAAGGGTTCCTCTTTGGCAGAGGTACCAGTCTGTGAGGGCTGTCCTAAGTACAGAGGAGCCAAAGGATGGCAAGGCTGGTCTGTCACCTGTTTCCATTCCTTCCCCATCTCCTGGGTGAGTTGAGACTACAAAATCAGAAGACATCCACAAGGTCCTCAGAGAAGTCATCCCATAAGGCTATTTCTAGTACATAATAACAGTGACACATAGAACGTTTCCTGTGGTCAGCTCTTTAAGAATTTTTAAACCACAATCACATCCAGGTTCCCATAATCCATTCACAACAACTTTGAACACTGAGCAGAGCTGGGCACAATTGTGCACAATTAACAATCCCAGCAGCTCAGGAGGCTGAGACAGGAGGATCATGAGTTCAATGCCAGCCTCAGCAATTTAGGGAGGCCCTAAGTAACTTAGTGAGAGCATGTCTCACAATAAAAAATAAAAAAGGAACTGGGGATGTGGTTTGGTGGTTAAGTATCTCTGTGTTCAATCCCTGGTATGGAAGGAAGGAAAGAATTATGGAAGAAAGGAAGGGAGGGAGGAGGGAGGAAGGAAAGAAGGAAGGGAAGGAGGGAAGAAGGAAGGAAGGAAGAGAGACAGACTGACAGAAAAATAAATAGAGCAGCTGCTGTTCTCATTAAACAGAAGGGGAAGTGACTCACCCAAAGTCACACAGCTACTCTGGGTCAAAGCCCTACACTGGATTCTGTGAGCCTTAGTGTTTTTGTTCCCTTCTTGACTGACATACAAGAATTGGTACTATAAATGGCATGAACTTTAATGAACTGCTCTCTGTGAGAGATTTGCATGTTCAGATAGTAACCCCAAATTTGACCCAATTCAAGGCTCTGGCTAGGAGTCTGTGGTATGCACATTGTCCCATGCATGACTGGCAAGATATAAATAGCTCTCTCTTCCCTGAGGTGAAGTGGCAGAAGCCCTGGCTCTGAGGCTGGCTCAGCTCAAGACATGTGGTCAGTACACATGCTTGCTCCTCTGGGCTTGAGATATAGCAGGATGTTCCCAGCTGGGGCCCTTGATACCATTCCAACCCTCCTGGACTTCATTCTAGGTCTGCCAGAATAATTCTTCTTTGGGCCTTTCTCATGCTTTTGAACTTGGTAGGAGGGTAGGAGAGGAGTCTGGAATCTTCCTGACTTACCCACTTAGGACAGGCCCATGAGACAAATGAACAAATATCCTTTTAGGAAAAGTTTCCCTTTCCAAGATGAGCTGCAGTTCCTAAACCCCAGGACATGTTTTTCATCTGTTCTTGCCTGCTTGTTTTAACACTACCTCTAACCCTATCCAACACCCACTCTGCAGCTCTCTGCCATCTCTGTCCCTTGCAGTTGGTTATACCATGAATGACCTCGTGTTTGAGTGGCTAGAAGATGCTCCCGCTGTCCAAGTGGCCGAGGGGCTGACTTTGCCCCAATTTATCCTGCGGGATGAGAAGGATCTAGGTTATTGTACCAAACACTACAACACAGGTAAGATCCAGGTTTTTTACTTGCTAGGAGGAACATGAGGGCCTCCAGATGGGAAGCAAGGGGACAAGGCAGCTAGCCTCTACAGAAGTTCCAGTCTAGGTGAGAAATGATGCTATGTGCTTCATAAACTTTATCTCATTGTGGTCATGATTATTAACACATTTTTCAGAAAGAGAACACTGAAGTTCTATGAGGTTACATTAATTGTCCAAGTCACACACTTTTAAGTGGCAGATTCAGAATTCAAATCCAAATCTAAATCCAAAGCCCATATTCTCGTCCCTGTCACATGAAGTAGAGCTGTGACAGTGAGTAGCAGGAATTTTCCACTTTTCCTGGGGCCAACTTTGTGTAAAAGCTGGGAAATCCACATTTTGAAGTAGTCAATGGCTGTGCTGAACAGGGAACAGGCCTGAGATCAGCAGCCAGCTTAGCATCCATACCTCTCAGGTGTGAAATATAGGTCCAGAAATGGAGAGAGGCTGCTTTTCTAGCCTGAGTGTCTACTCTTTGCAGCTTCCCTAAGAGTTGCTGATTCCTCATTTCCCCTGACAATTTGTGAGGAGCTCAGATTCTAAGATAGAGGTAGCAGACTAAAGGGTGGGAGATCCTGGGTTCCTCCTATAGTGTTCTGATATATTTTGGGTGCTCCTTATCAACATGTGTGTGCACATATGTGAGATGCATGGGTGTGGGGAATGGGTAGAGAAATAGTTCATTGAATTCAGAAAAGGCCAGTGGAAGTAGACATTGATATAACATTTTGGGGCTAAAAAATTGGCAATTTTTATGTAGGTCAGTGGTTTTCAAACTTTGGTATGTAATATATTTCCCTGGGGAGTCTGCTAAAATGTTGATTCCTGGACTCTACCTCTCAGGCATTCTAATTACACATGCCAGGAATGATGTCCGGAAATTTGCATTTTAACAAGCATCCTGAGGATTCTAATGCAGGTAATCCAGGAAAAAAAAAAATGGTACTTTGAGAAACTTTTTAATCTACAAGTTAAATTTTTTTGTACTTGTTTATCAGGAATTCCACTCCTTGGAATGTATTATAAGGAAATGTTCCAACATATCACATTGACTTTAGACCCCAAGATGGCTCCTGGGTCACTGTTTATACTGCCCAAACCTTGGAATTGTTCTCACTATCCACCAGTAGGGCAAGGTTAAGTGTGCCTGCTTGGTGCAATAGTATGCAGACATTAAAAAGGATGCTTGTGCTGGGTGTGGTGGTGCACAGTGACTCAGGAGGCTGAAGTAGGAGAACTGCAAGTTCAAAGCCAGCCTCACAACTTAGTGAGGCCCTGTCTCAAAATTTAAAAAATAAATAAACAAAAAGGGCTGGGGATGTGGCTCAGGGGTAAAGCACCCCTGGGGTCAATCCCTCAATCCCCAGTACAAGAAAGAAAGAATGAATGAAAGAAAGAAAGAAAGAAAGATGCTTGCTAGGTTCTTGTATTTACATGGAAATGTACAAATTTTAAAAAGTAAGATTCAAAGTTGAATACACAGAACATTTGTATTGTGATAAATGAAACAAAAAACATGCATTTAAAATCCTAGAAGGAAATATGAGCTGAATGTAAAGTAGTGTGATACAACAGATATGAGCAAGAACTTTGGAGTCAGATAGTCCTGAGTTTGGATTCTGGCTATATTATTCACTAGTTGAGTGTCCTTGAGAAACATAACAATCCCTTCATGCCTCAGTGTCCCTATCTGTAATATGGGAAATAATAATAGTACCTGCCTCAAAGATTTACTATAGTTTTAAATGAGATAATGTCAGGGTACTTAATAAGGGCTTCATAAATGTGAGCTTATGAATATTGTTATTTTCCCCTTCTTATTTTTTTCTAGTGCATTGGCCCCAGGCATCTGTACCAGTGCTCTGCCTCTCCTGCCAGCCGCCTTCTAAACAAGTATTAATTTCATAATGAAAAACAACTGCTATTACAGGAAAAGGAAGGAATGAACAAAGGGAAAGAAAATATAGGTACTTAGTAAAAACATGTCATGGCAAGAAGCTCAGAGTGGCATGAGGTAGGGTAGGATCAGGGAACAGTAGGTAGTCATAGTGTTACACAAGTTCTCAAAACCTTCATCAGTCATTGATGAAATCACTGGGCTTGAAAAATCTGGTAGGCCTGGTAAGAGTAAGCCTGGATCAGGATAAAATAACAATACACAGTTGGCCCTCCATGTCCACAGGTTCTACATCCAATGATTCAACCAACTGCAGATAAAAAATATTCAAGAAGAAACTGCACTTATGCCAAACATGTACAGACTTATTTACTTTTAATATTTTTTAGTTGTAGATGGACATAATACCTTTATTTTATTTATTTATTATTTTATGTGGTGCTGAGGATTGAACCCATTGCCTCACACGTGCTAGGAAAGCACTCTACCACTAAGCTACAACCCCAGCCCTAGACTTATTTTCTTTGTCATTATTCTCTAAGTAATACAGTGCAACAACTATTTACATATTGCTTATACTGTGTTAGGTATTATAAGTAATCTAGAGTTTATTTAAGGTATATAGGGGGATGTACACAGGTTATACACAAATCCTGTGACATTTTATATAAGGGACTTGAGCATCCACAGGTTTTGGTTTTTGCAGAGGGGTCTTGGAACAAATCCCCCATGGAAATCAAAAGATGACTATGTATATCCTCTCGTTTTTGTTTGGGTTGTCTTAGGCTTCTTCTTCTGGAGAATCTATAAGCAACTGTTTTCTTAGCCTCAGGGTCATGGGAAGCAGGGTAAAGTGAAGATGGCTGAGCACTGGTACATGTACCTAGGGCTAATGTAACTTTTGTTGGTAGAATATAATGCTGCTGCCTAATGCTCTATGGGAAACTACGGCCCACTGTCCAGAGCCAGTCTCTGATGGGCATTGTTTATAGATGTCTGTTATATGGCTTTTCTCACTTGCTTAAGACACAGGCAGTCTTTATCCCACTTCTGTTGCTAGACAGCTTCTGGGATACTAGCAGTTGCAAGCAAGGCTGCTTATATCTGAGTAGAGTCTGAACTAATTGTCTTGTTAATAATCATACAGCAATAATAATAGCTACTTATGAGTTGAACACCTCAAATACATCATTTTATTCAATTTTTCCAATAGCCCAGTGATGGCACTGATATTGTGACTACTCTGTTTAATAGGCAGAGTCTGAAGTTCAAAAAGCTTGGGTGTTTTGCCCAGGGTCACACAACTAGTAAGTGAAAGGTTCAGGATTCAAACCCAGTCAGTCTGACTCTGGAGCCTTCTTGCTTTTATCCTCTTGCTGTGCTGTCACTCAAAAGACCTCCTGCTGGAAGCCAAAGTGCTAGGAGCAAGAGGGCATGTCCATTATGGCTGCTCTGTGAACTTTCTTAGTAGATGTCAGGCACTAACTGTGGCCATTTTCAAAGGCTCATTTATTGGCCAGCTGAGGTGCCCCAAATTGTTCAACAGAGACAGGGATATCCTAGTTCTGCCACTTAGGATCAGCAGAAGGCTGAGGACCCAGGGCCTGATACTTCACCTCTTTCCTTGCAGGGAAGTTCACCTGCATCGAGGTAAAGTTTCACCTGGAACGGCAAATGGGATATTATCTGATTCAGATGTATATCCCCAGTCTACTCATCGTCATCCTGTCCTGGGTCTCCTTCTGGATCAACATGGATGCTGCCCCTGCCCGTGTAGGCCTTGGTATCACTACTGTGCTCACCATGACAACCCAGAGCTCTGGTTCCCGGGCCTCTTTGCCTAAGGTGAAGAGACATGCAAGGGAACCTGCTTGTCATCAAGTTTCCCATTTCTTATTCATCACATGCTCCCTCCTGATCACTACTGACCTTGGATTTAAGGTTGAGAGGAGCCACTGAGTGGGAACAGGCATCCAACACACTCTCTTCCCCCACAACGTATACCAATAATATAGATAACAATGTGGAGGCTGAGGTTAGGGATTCTGTCTGGTTAGGGAGTGAGTACTTTCTTCAGGACATACTAGCATGTCCAAGATCAAAAGACCCTCATCAAGTAAAAAGTCATACTCCCTCATGGTACAGATGAGGAAACAGCTCAGATAGGTAAAATGACCTTCTCAAGGTCATGTCTCACCAGAAACAACCAAAGCAGTATCAGGATTCTGAACCAACTTCTGTCTTCTTACTATGGGAGAACCAAGATACTATTACAAAGAGCTCTAGATATAGTGTCTATTCTTTGAAGATGAAAAAAATTTGAGGTAGCAAATAGAAATTAAAGGCAGTAGACTCTGATCATCTGGAGCCTAGTTATGTTTTGATTACGCAGAAAGATTTGTGCTGATGGGACTAGGAACAGCTCTCCCTGTCTCATGTCTTCCTGTAGGCAATTTAGAGGTCACCTCAAAGTCCTTACAGTCAGCAAGGCTCTGAGCACATCGGGGAGTTAGAAACTCATTTATTCAATAAATATTTATTGAACATTTACTATATACCAGACACTGTACTTGATCATGGAAAAACAATGGAAAGGAAAAACAACACAGTTTCTCCTGGATCTTTCAGTGAACATATTCCCTCTTGCTCTGATTCATTAGGAACCAGAACCTTTGATCTCCCTTCTCTCAGTGCTTGTTCATAATAAGACTTTTTACTTAGGGCAGGGGGTAATCTGGGACATTCATGGCAAATTTATGAATTTGCTATATGGGGGGAATAGTGGTTAAGTGTATGAAATTAGAGTCAAGCCAATTTGGGTTTAAATCCCAGACTCATCATTTACTAATAGTGTGACCTTAAGTAAATTCCTTAACCTCTCTGTCTTACTCGAAACATAGGAATAAGAATGCTATTGCAGCTGGATGTGGTGGCTTACACCTGTAATTTCAGCAGCTTGGGAGGTTGAGGCTAGCGGACTGTGAGTTCAAAGCCAGCCTCAGCACTTTAGCAAGGCTCTAAGCAACTTACCAAGAACCTGTCTCTAAATAAAATATAAAACAGGCTAGGAATGTGGCTCAGTGGTTAAGCACCCTTGGCTTCAATCCCTAATACTAAAAAATAAAAAGAATACAAATATATATATCAATATATAAGGCAGTGTTTGACAATAATAACCACTCAATAAACGTTAATTATTATTATATGTACCATGTGTCAGATTTGAAAAGAAATGTGATGGATATGATAAAGCAGCAGCTAATATTGACCCCAATTATTTTTGATCTGCTGAGAAACCATTGAGGTAGTCCAAAGTTCTAGAGAGAGAAATAATTAAGATCAGGATCAAGTATCCAAGGAAAAATTATTGGGGTCACTTCCTGCAAATATGTTTCCTAGATGGACAGGGATATTTATGAGGCTCTGAGAGGCAGGATGGATTTAGGCAAGGACCATAGGGCCCAGGCTGGGCTGTGGTAGCTATGTTTTGATAGTAGCCTATATGGAGACCAGAGGCAGTAAAGTAATTCAGCCCTAAGAACTCTGCCCTAGTTTATTGCTTCTGCCATATCAAGGAGATTCTTCTCTAATTCTAGGAGCTATTGTAATTTATGCCTTCCTTTTGCCAAGAGAACTTCCTTTTCTGGTCCCCTCCTGTGAGTGAGCACAATCCATCTGCCCCCAGGAATCACTTAGTTTCCTCATTTGGAAAAAGTAGACTTTATTGGGAGGTTGTTTGTTTACAACATTTTGTGCCTTCTTTTACCTCACTGGACAGTAAGCAAAATACCCAGGCATGCACCCCAAATGAAACAACCTCATTAGTCAGCCCCACAGAGCAAGAAACTCAGTAACCTAGGAAGCATCTGCTCACTCTTTTGAGTTTGTGCAGCATTAAGTTCAGTGGAAGCCCTGAGAAAAGGGATGGGGCCAAGCCAGGGGACTCTGAATTCCACTCCACAACACAACTTAAGTGTCTAGGATGAAATTCGCAGAGACTTGCTTTGTAGGGGAAAGGCTTGACTTAGCTTGACTCAGCTGGGGTGTCCATTCTCCATGATCCCATGAAACCACTCCTTTGCTCTTATGGGGGACCTCCAAAGACACTCACCACTATCTCTTTCCAAGGCCCTTGATCTCCACAAATGCAGATGCCTCAGAAAAGAGGCTAAATGAAAGATTTTTCCAGGTTAGACCTAAAGTTGTAGAATAAAGGAAGGACCCAATTCTCTCTAGATCTTGTTATCTAACTAGCCTTTAGCTTTCGGGGCAAGCAGTGGAAAGGAGAGCATAGAGAGCAAGTAGAAGCCAGTAGAGAAAAACTCATTGCCAAACCATCTATCCATTCATTCATTTAAAAAAATTAACTATGTGCCAAGAACTCACCTGGGCACTGGGACTAGAACAGTGACGAGCATATAAATAATCCCTGTCATGGAAGAGCTCACAGTCTAGCGGAGGGAATAGTCAGCTATGTGATGGATGCTAAGAAGGTATAGGTAACCTGGGCACATATACCAGGACAACCAACACAGACTGGAAAGATCAGGGAAGGCTTCCTAGAAGATGTGGTATCTAAAGTGGAAGCTGGAGGATATATAAAAGTTATCTAAGTAAAAGACAGACAGAAAAGCAGAGATTTGCTTCTTAGAAAACTACTAAAATAGTTCACCATAGTGGATCATAGATTGCAAGGGGCATGATGAGGCTGGAGAGGTAAGCAGAGGCTCCATGTCATGATTAAGTGGAGTGTGGACTGTAGCATAAGGGTAACAAAGAACCACAAAGGGGTATAAGTGTGGGGGGTAATATGATCAGATTTACATTTCATAAACAAAACTCACTATCATTTCGAAAACATATTGGAGGTAGCAAATGTCAAAGCTGGGAGACCATTTAGAAACTGTTGTAGTCCTTCAGACGAGCTATAATAGTAGGGGATGAACTCCTGAGATTTAAAAAAAATATACTGATACATTCATCATTAACAAGACATTATTCCTGGTGCTTAATGTGTTCTTTCCTTTGATGGTTCAAAGCCCTTCATTATGCTCCTTTGTCATTGACTCATCATTGATTTCACAACACACATTTGCCATCCCTGGGGGCACAGTGGGACTGGGAGATGGAGAATGAAATAAGTGGCAAAGTGGAGACACCAAGGGATGTCTAATCGTAGTTGCCTAGCAACCCATTACCACCCTTTGTGGTATCACCCTAAAACAAGTAGAATAGGATTTCTCAGCCTCATAGCATTACTGCCATTTGAGGGAGATAATTCTTTGGGGTGTGTGTGTGTGTGTGTGTGTGTGTGTGTGTATACCGAGGGAAGGCTGTGCATTGTAGGATATTTACTGCCACCCTAAAATTTTACAACCAAAAATGTCACCAAACATTGCCAAATGATCCTCAGAAACTGAACAAAGTTTTTTTTGTTGTTGTTGTTTTTTTTTTCAGTTAAGAAATGCTAAGGTCAGGGGTTGGAGGTATAACTCAGTGGTAGAATGCTTGCCTAGCATGCCCTGGGTTTGATCCCCAGCACTAAAACAAAACAAAAACTAAGGTAAAGAATTATTCCATGAGACCTTCTCCTAACCTAGGATCCATAGCACCCTTGCTGCCCAACAAAACAGAAGCTGATAAAAGAAGTCATGTGTCCTGAATTCTACCCCTGCTGAGGAGCCTTATGCCATGAGCTCAGAACTAGGTAGAATTATATCTGGTTACGGAGATGAAAGGATTTCAGAAATCTGAGCTCTACTCTCCTCCTGGCCCCACCCAGCTCTAGCCTTGTTCCAGGAGAGGTCCATGTTCAACCTCCACAAGGGTAGTAGGAGAGAAAAGTACTTAAAGACTGCCAAGGAAGGTAGTGAGAGGAGAGTACTAGAGTGAATAATTGTATGCCAACAATGCATCCTCATGATACTGGCCTATTTTCCTCTCCAGGGTGAGCCCCATTCCTAAGTAGGCACTCTTAAAAAAGAGCAGGAAAAAACAGAACTCCCAATACACACTTTCACATTGGGTAATCTTTGCTAAACCCTTCTCTCTGAGCTTTAAGTGTCCTCATGTCTCTCACATGGGCATGGTGAACCCTGCCCAGTTACCACCAGGGTTATAAGAACTTGAGGAGATAACACAGGCAAACAAATGCAGTACTCGTGATTAGTGTTGATTATTGAAATAAAAGAATCAGAAGACGAATGAAAAGAATAATAAAAAGCAGAAGGAAGTCGGGCAAGGTGGTGCATGCCTACAATCCCACTGGCTCAGGAGGCTGATGTAGGAGGATTGAGAGTTCAAAGCCAGCCTCAGCAAAACCAAGGCACTAAGCAACTCAATGAGACCCTGTCTCTAAATAAAATACAAAACAGGGCTGGGGATGTGGCTCAGTAGTTGAGTACCCCTGAGTTCAATCCCTGGTATCAAAAAAAAAAAAAAAAGCAGAAGCAGAAGTAGAAATGCAAGAAGAATATAAAGGAAGAAAGGAAAATAAGTACAGGGAGGAAATGCAGATGGAAATAGAAGGTGGAGAGTGCAGAGAAGTGAAAGATGATAAGTAGGGGCTGGGTTGTGGCTCAGTGGCAAAGTGCTTGCCTAGCATATGTGAGGCACTGGGTTTGATTCTCAGCACCGCATATAAATAAATGAATAAAATAAAGGTTCATCAACATCTAAATAAAGGTTCATCAACATCTACTTTTTATCTTTAAAAAAAGATGATAAGTAACTCAATCTCTTTGACATGAGCTTTCAGACAATGGGACATATCATGGAAAGCTTCTTCAAAAAACAAAAGAAATTCAGGATAAAACGGAAGAACATCAGGCAGTTGATACAGGCTAGAAATCCACTGGATAGACCATGGAAGGATGTCAAGATGGCTGACTGCCCTGTTGGTGGATGTTATAGGTATCCTATGTGAAGGCAATTGACATCTGGATGGCCGTGTGTCTGCTCTTTGTGTTTGCTGCCCTGCTGGAGTATGCTGCTGTCAATTTTGTCTCCCGTCAGCATAAGGAATTCATGCGACTTCGAAGAAGGCAGAGGCGCCAACGCATGGTGAGTACAACTAAGGAGGTGCCCGCTTTCTTTTTCCTTTGGATTCCTTCTTCCCTACTACTACTCCCACAAACCAAGACCCAACCTAAGCTGCAAGAACTGAACAAGCAGTTAGGAACCCTGGATTTTAGTCCCAGGCTGGGCACAGTTAAGCTAAGTACAATACCTCTTTGATTTTGTTTCCTATGTATTCAATGGGACATTAACCCCTATAAGGCAGTATAGTAGAATGATTTAAGACCATGGGCATAGTGCCTAGCATACAGTATGCACTGAAAATGTGTCAGTTAGTATTAGAACCTTACGAAGTTCATTCATATGACATTGATTTGAGAAATAACAATGGTTGCTCCTGGCTCTCTCTGCACCAAGAAGGACCCCAGGTTTTCCACACTAATCAGTGGTAAAGAATTCAAGAGTCAGACATTGGTGCCTTTCTAGGGAGCATTATAAGAGGGTTCTTATAATTAAGTTAGAATTGAAAGAACACTACTTGCCTCTTCTGATTGTTGGATTTCTTCTTGATCTTCACTGGACATATCAGAGTTGTTGAGCTTGGACTGTTGTTCTCCCTCATTCTTGTTTATTAACCCCATTTCTTCTACAGTAGAATGATCACCTAGGGAAATATAAGAGGAAGCTTGTTGTCATGACAACACAGGCAGTTTACCCTCAATTGCCCAGACAATAGGTGCTAAGTGAGTTGTCATGACAACAGAGGTACCTGGGCTATCCTCACAGAAGCAAGCTTCCAATTATGAGCAAAGCTAAAAGTCTTTGCTAAGCTACATGCTAGTTGCTTAATCTCCAGGGACACAGAGTTCTGGTCTGTCTTCAACTGTGACCCTATGTTTTCTGCCTAATTTCAATACTTTAAAACTAAAGGGGCAAGTGCAGAATGACCTCTAGGGGATAGGAAACAATTACAGTTGCCTAGGGTGTATAGCGCCCTGGATTCGACTCCCAGCATCACACATACACATACAGAATCCTGGCTCTAGCCAGTCTGAACCACAAACTGTATCTGTGGTTTCATGCCCCTTGCTAAGGTCCTTCTCTGCAGAGGGTGGGGTTCCTGGATCATATAGGGGTTTGTCCAAATTTATGTACTCTTGCCTCACTTCATCCCTTTAACTGGGTCCTGGGCAGCATGCCCTCTAGTGGATTGATCTATAACTGCATGTCCTTGGCTAGGACTTTTTTGAAGAAAGACTTTCCTGTCCCATACTGAGGGTTAGGGCAGAAATATAGAATTGACAGGGAAAGGAAAGAGGATTCTCCTTCTTCTAAGCTAACTGTCTCCACCCCTTCTTTTGTTGGGTCAAACCTACTTGCAGGTACCAAAATCTTATTCTTACAGGGGGTCTGACCTTGACAACTTCTGAATGTTTTCCTTGGAAAAAAAAAGTAGGTCACCAACCAGTCCAGAGTCCTTTTCCCAGTTACACTGAGTGTGGTGATGTCTCAGCACCAAAATATTGCTAAAGTTACCATAGACCTACTCCATGTTGACACTAGTCCCACCTCTTTCCCTGCATTCACCCAACCCCCAACTGGCCACAAGCTATCCCCTCCTGCTCATATATAGGTTGACCCTGAGTTCATAATGGAGTCTGTCATAACTAGTGCTCAATTATTACAAAGTTATAACAGCATCTTGGGACCTGCTTAGGACCCTGAAGCCTTCCTGCAAGTGGTCTGGAGTTTACTATTAAGGTGAATAAATCTGTGCCATAAATCATGTTCCTTTTCAAGTCTCCTAAAGCTACTGTCATTCCAGTAGAACTGTAACAGGAATACTGGAGGCAACAGGCAGGCTAAACAAGTTGATGGAGAGTTCACCCATTACTAGAACCTCTCTGGGTCCTACCATTTCAGCAGAAGGAAATCCTTAGCCAAAAAAAAAAAAAAAAAGATAGGAGGGGCTGTGGTATAGCTTAGTTGAGGCCCTGGGTTCAATCCCCTGCACCACCAAAAAAGAAAGGAAGGAAGGAAGGGAGGGAGGGAGGAAGAAGAAAATAGGAGCCAGTCATCCCAGGGTCTTCAGGCTTAATCCTTTTCTTCTCTAATCTCTCCTCAACCACCCATTTCCACTACGTGGTGATCTCCTTCCATGTCACTTACTAAAATATTTGAGGTTTTTTCCCCATGTGTTTCTGTTTTATCTTCCCAGTTAGTCTACAAGATTTATAGGGAAGGATGAAGCTCTCTTTTTTGTCATCTCTGCAGGCCCTAGCACCAGGCTTTAAAAATAGCAACCATATAACCCAGCCCACCAACTTTTGCAGGCTGTTTGGTAAGGGTACTCTGTCAAATTGGACAGAGAGAAAATCTTGCCATTATCAACAGAATAACTTGAAAATGGAAAGAATTTTCAAAGTACTGCCAAGTTCTCTCAGGAACTTAGTCCCAGAACCCTGCTTATCTCTGCCATCCTCCATCCAGCACCCTCCCCCACCTCCAGTCTCTTTTTCCTGCCTCTCTCACGTCAATACTGATTACTTCACCTCCCACACTGTGTCTTCACTCCCCAGCTTGATTTGGAATATCTTCTCTCTCTAGCTTCTCAGTCCTCCTCCCTTACAGATATCTGGGAAAAAATGGAGTTCTATGTCAACAGCAATAGAAGTCACAAAGTGGTATTTATGGCTCCATTTTCCCTCCCCCCCCCCCCACACACACACACACACTCACACACCTCAGAATTTGGCCTAAATGGATAAGACACAAATCCAGAACTCCCTATTTCAGGTCACTCATCTTTATTCCTCCAGCTACAAGAAATACCTGTTAAAATCAAAAAGAGCCTAGACTCATTTATTAGCCATATTTTTTCTACTGTATGAAGTGTCTTTTTATGGCCTGGGAAATATTTCCAAATAATTCCTTTTAGATTTACTGTGATTAGAGAAAGAAAAAATAATTGGATATAGAAACAGAAATAGCAGTTGTAATCTAACCTCCCCTGTGAAAATGAATTAGAGAATTCATGTGAGATGAGCCAAGTCCTGTGGTGAAAGAGACAATGGGAATTATCTTGAACATAGAGCTAAGACTTCCCTATTACAACCTCTTGGGGTTAAGGTACACCACAACAGCAAATTGTCTCTGGCCTACCCACATACAACTCTTTCCACAAAGACCCTGACAAATCAAGGATAGGGCAGCAAAGCTCTAGAGTTGGCAGACAGATTCTTTCCTATGCCAAAATGCTAATCCCTTTCTGGAAGTCAAAGAGCATCAGGCCATTGTGCAGGGTGGGCAAGGAGTAATTATTTTTCCTGCAAAGTATTTTATAACCCAGGGAGTTTCACTTCTGAGTAAACTTTGGGTTTAAGATCTTGAAAGGATGCTGGCTGCATAAGAACAAAAAGCTCTTCTCTTCCTATATTCTGAAGCATGTGGCTCACCAGTCCATTCGTTCACTCCACCAAAGTCTACTGAGTTCCTGTTATGTTTCAGGCACAGAAGTAGACACTGGAAATACAGCAGTGAACAAGACCAACACAATGCCTACTTGACAGGCTTGCCCTCGTGACAGGTCAGCTTCTGGTGATATAATAATCAAGGGTTACTAGGACTTACCACACCAATTGGCATTTCAATGTGCTACCATAGCTGCAGAGGTCCCATTATGAAGATCCTATGATGTCCCTCTAACCGCACAAAATGTTTAAAATATATTTGATTCACATTTTAAAAATATCTATGTCATACCCATATAATACACCTGTATCTTGTTCTTATAATTATACTAACTACCTTAGGTAGCTGTATGGTGATTAACTCTTTCTGGTTTTCCTTGGTCTTCCCTAGTTTTAGCACTAAAGACTCAAGTCTCAGGAATCCTCTCAGTTTGGGGCAAATTGAGATAGCAATTGGCATTTCAGGTGATTTCTTTTAGATAGCTTAAGATTTTGCCCCCGAACCTTCAATATTTTCTAAAATTATAAACATCTTTCAAGGATATATTTCTTAACACTTCCCTTTAGAGGAAGATAAAATCAGGCTTATTTGGGTCTTATATAAAATAAAAGTAAATAGGTTCTAAATGGGTGCCTGACAGCCTCTTATATTACTAACACTCCATTGATCACTCAGGGGCTTTTGTCTTTTCTCTTTCCTATATCTATCTTTCTGTGCTTACTTCCTGGCTCCCATCTGACTACTGGATCAATGGACGTTTTGTAGTTTGCCATATTACTTAGTGCTTAATGAGTTTATCATTATGCACATATTATATATGAATGGAAAGTGCATTGGGTAATAACTGTCACTCTGGATATATTGACCCTTGTGTCAACTCTGTTGCTCTGCTTAGAAGTACACATATCTGTAACAGAGTCATTAGCTTTACTCTGCTTTGGATAACCCATTAAGTTATTTAAAACTTTTGGAATTCTCAGCTTTGAATCAAGATAATTGAACTTTCAAAAGATACTACATTCAAGAAATACTATTTCTGAAGCTTTTGAAATTCATTAAAGTCAATTTCACCGAGTCTAAATATCTCAGCTCCACTATTTGATGTTTCATTTATTTTTTGGAACCAGGAATTAAACCCAGGGGCACTCAATCACTGAGTCACATCCCCATGCCTTTTTAAAAATCTTTTTATTTTTTTGTGGTGCCAGGGATTGAACCCAGAGCCGTGTGCATGTGAGGTAAGCACTCTACCAATTGAGCTATATCAAATTGACAAACTATATTTATATATATATAAATACATATATATAGTTACATATATAAATATATATATAGTTATATATATAGTTATATATAAATATATATATATATATAGTTATATATATAGTTATATATATAGTTATATATATAGTTATAT